ATTTCACATTACGAAAGAATTGCTTTATAACTCTGGAAGCTGCTATGTATTGCCGTTTTATAGATGATATTGGATCATACATACATAGAGGGACGGGTTCACACTACTTTAAAATTCCTAGTCCACCAAAATTTTTTCTAACCGGTGAATTATAAATTGAACAAGTAGTAACATCTGAGCTAGTGAGAAGAGTGTAAGAGCAACGCCACAGCTGAACGGCTTTCAATGAATTTCCCCAACTGTTTTCAACTTCGACGCTGAAGAGCTTTTATAGCATTATTTGTATTCGACAATTGTCATTGTGTTGTGCGTTACCGTCATTGGTTTCATCAGTTTTTGATTACTTTCAACTTAACTCCCAACCTTTTGATAAATTGCACCTTCTACTCACCGCAATGTAAATCCTTGAAAGCTTTTCTATTAATGTATGGGTGTGGGTGTGCGTATGTTATTGTTTTTAGGTTGCTGGTAACTGTAAAGCTCAATTCACGCGTTTTGAATTTGGTGAGTTCGATAACACTTTTGCTCTCCATTTACTGCTGGATGCTTAAACATTGCTCCTCTACTCGGTTGTTCTCTCATTAATTTGCTCTCGACGCGAACCCTTCCGGCGCCAATGTTTAATGCGCTAAACTTAACGAATGATAATTTTGACGTGTTTATTTGTAAGTAATAGGAGTATGGCGGTTTGTGTGAGGGTAGGTTAGTGTTTACACTTCCTACTTACCAAAGATAGTTTTACATTCATGTGACTTCATATGTACAATGTAAATATGTATGAGTATGTACTCCTTCAGGCTTATACGTATGTATGTATTACCCATACATTTATATATGTAGATAACTCTCATATAATTGCAGCTGTTGTGCGACTGCTGGCTGCTGAAGGCTCTTTGATTACGCGGCTTATCAGGTGGCAGTGCACAATTCAAAGTGTTGAAGCGAATTTTTAATGAGGCAAAGGGGGGTCAGTAGCCTAGATACAGATATCATAGTTTTTTTTAGAAATTCCCTTATTTGGTATTTAATTGACAGTTTTTTAAATTAAAGTATACATTATTATACATATAAACTAGCTATTTTAATAAAGGATTAACGTCAAGCAACTTTTTAAAAGAAAATTTGTTAAACTAAATGCAAATCTGTTCAAGGAACATTTTTTGCAGTGAAATTAAAGAAAATATAACTTTATTTGCATGCAGGCAGTTAAAATTAGAGCAATTAAAAAAATTTCTCTTCTAGGGATATTTATTTTAGCGCTAAAGCAAGATAAATTATTTATTTATATTTTAGAAACTAATCGATATTTTAAAAATAAGAGCTCTCTTTGAAATTTCCCTTGTGGGTGATTTTCAATTCACGGTCGAATAAAGAAAACTGTGTTTTATTTTATAAAAAAAAAAAACAATGGATTAAGATGTTTTAGAAGGCACCCTGTAATTGTGCATATGGAAACTGTGCATACGAAATAATGCATATGAAAAAAACCGAAATAATGCATACGAAAAAAACCGAAATAATGCATATATGCACAGTTTCGGTTGAAAACCGCAATAATGCATACTAGAAAAACCGAAATTATGCATATGCACTCTTTCGTTTGAAAACCGAAATAATGCATATGAAAAAAAACCGAAATAGTGCATACATGAAAACGAACTTCTCTCTGAGTAGGCGGCCTTCGGCCGCGCTTAGGGATTATAACCCTTACTAAGTAGAATTCTCCTTTCTGTGTTGCCGGAAAAGGGGGCCGGAAGTACTTTTGCGCAGAACTTCTTTCTGCGTAGGCGGCCTTCGGCCGCGCTTAAGGATTATAACCCTTACTAAGTAGAATTCTCCTTTCTGTATTGCCGGAAAAGAAGGGCAGACGTACTTTTCTCTGCGTAGGCGGCTTTCAGCCGCGCTTAGGGATTAAAACCCTTACTAAGTAGAAGTAAATAATTCATATTAGAAAAAACGAAATTATCCATATGCACACTTTCGCTAGAAAACCGAAATAATGCATATAACAAAAACCGAAATAATGCATAAATGCACAATTTCAGTTCAAAACCGAAATAATGCATATGGCAAAAACCGAAATAAAGCATACATGCACAGTTTCGGTGAAACCGAAATAATGATAAACACGAAATAATGCATATACAGTCGAAAAGTAAGCTAATACCGAAATTATGCATATGCATACTTTCGTTTTAAAAGCGAAATAATGCATATGAAAAAAAACGAAGTAATGCATACATGCACAGTTTCGGTTTAAAACCGAAATAATGCATATGGCAAAAACCGAAATAAAGCATACATGCACAGTTTCGGTTGAAACCGAAATAATGTCTAAATGCACAGTTTCCATATGCGCAATTTCGGTGCCCCGTTTTAGAACAGCTGCATTGAAATTCCGATACTTGGGAGTCGATGTTAAAACTTCGCTTTTGGGAAAGTATAATTTTTATGGCTTTTTTTAAGGCATCCACATTATTTTACTGAGCGTAGGGACTTTAGTTTGGTCAAAAAAAACAAAAAAAAAACATGAACCCTAATTTTAAACGCCTGACACTTTATGAAAGATCATTTGTTAAAACCAGAGACCGTACCGGTTAGACTATCTAACCTAAAACTATCACACTCGAATATACACAACTCTGGAATACTTGATTTGCAACTTTGACTTTTATTTTTGCCTGAAAAATATAGGTCAAAAATTGCCGATTATTTTCTGCTAAAAAAAAAAATAAACGGCAAATTTTAACTTTTATTTTTGCCTTAAACAAATTAAAGGCAGTTAATCGGTATTATTTGCTCAAAATGATAAAAGTCAGGTTTTTAAAAGTCATGGAGGAATCATAACCTACAAAGAAAGATGATTCTAATGGTACCTTTTGTGCCTATGCCTTTTTGGTGTCAAAAATTGTAAAATAACTTTTGTTTTCAGTCTCTGGTTAAAACCAGAGAATAATAAGACATTTTACTTTTGACGGTTAATAAGAAATATATAAATCATTTTTTTCAATAATTTCCTTAGATATATTCCAGAGGGAAATTTGTTTAAATTTTAACTGGTCTACATTTGTTCGTTGAAAAAGTATTAAAAAAAGATTAAATTTAAATTATTCTTTGGAAATTTCTCTCCATTTGAAAACTTTCCCTTGAAATTTCCCCTTTGAGGGAAATTATCAAAATGCGCCAATACCATGCGTATTATCAAAAATTATATAAATTTACAAAACATTAAACTTATTTTAAAATAGCCCTCAAGGACCGCTTTTTGTTTCACGGGGAAATCAGGCTTTTTTCCAATTTAATATCTCCCTTAAGAGTTTTTGCACTACTCTCCAGTATAAGCAGATAAAGTATCTCAGATGTCTATATTCTCTGAGTTCTTAACGTTGTTGGTATGGTTTACTTTATTCTAAGAGCAAATTGAAGCATTTGTCTTTCTTTTTTTAGTAACTTACGAAACTTTATGCATTCGCCTTTTTCTTTTCATTAAATTTTTCTTAACTCTATTTTTGTGCTACCGAAATCTGTATCTCATTTCCTGCCAATACGCCAGCAAGTATGCAACAATCGATTGTTCCTTTTGTGTACCAAAACATTTCCTGACGAAAATTTCATTAACGCGCAAGCTCTTCCGTAGAGTCTGCATTTCCTCGCCTACTTCGTCGATGCCACTAACCACCATTTCGGTTAACAATTTCTCATGACGACACCGGCATATGGACATGTGCGCATATATACATACATGGGTAACACACAATCAAACAAGGGTTGATGCATTTCCGCTGCTTTATTGATGCCACAAACAATGGCTGCTACTTCCTGCGCGTCGGCGAAATGCCAAAAAAGTGTGAAAAAACAAAAGATCAGGAAGAGGAAATGTAGATAGCAAGAATTTGCCAACCGCAACAGCAGCTTCGAAGGCAACGTGCTGTTGTTCGCTGTTGGGGAGAAGTGTAAACGTAGTGGATGCAATGAGGTGAAGAATGGCAATGACTATTCAAAGCAAACCAAAGCTATTGGTGTTGTAGGTGCACTTTTGGTATGTGCGCTCAAATGGGTTAATGAGTACATTTGCGCTTACAGTTGCATTTTTCGGCACACTCACTGGCGCCGTGCTATGCGGAAATGCACGTTGCTGCGGAAGCGGCCACAAACGTATATACATACGTACATATATAGAATGCACCTATATGTGCGTCCGCTTGCAATGGCGTCAACGGAACAGCCTTGAAATTTTCGCCATTCGTTTATCAGTCTCACACTCACTTCAAGCTACGACACTTAATTTGTGATTAGTCATCAGTAGTTTCCGCTGCTTGAACTTGACTGTTATATCGACCATTGTGTTGCATTCAAATGGCTTCCCTAATGAATGGCGCAGAAAAAAAAAGTTACAATAATGATAGGCTCATGCGTTGTACATGTGTTGGCCAAACGCTGAACCATGGTCTATATGAACTTAGTACTTTGAGAAAGCTGTTGTTAGTCATTTTGCTGTTGTTATTGTCACAGGTGGTCGGCATTAGAGGGAAAATGCAAACTTGAATAAGGTCTCTTTGCAAACATTTGCGTAAATCACACTAATTAAGTTAATTTCACTACGACTAATCGGATTTGATGTAGATTAACTGGTAAACATAATTTGATTTAATGTCGCATGGAAATCGCATACTTTTGAAGGTGCAGATGGCTTTAAACATTTTTGAGCACCGGAAATATTAATGTTTCCAATAAATTATAAGTAATAGCAGGATTAGTTTAAGAGTTTTATATACTCCGTTATATTGCAGCTTGATGCTGCCTGCGATCTTCAAATTAATTTTATGAGATTAAAACAGTATTAATTAAAATAGAATAAGTTTGCTAGAATAAAGTATACATCAAAAATACTTATAGTCGGGCTTATTTAATTAAAGTGAAATAATAAAGAGCAGAATTTAATAAATACAATAGTACCGCCGCAGCAACATTGTTTAAATTTTTCTTTCCACTAATATTACCTTAATTCTCGTGATGTTTCCAATGATTCATTACAACTTTTATTTAAATAAGCCTTTTAACTTTTTCCCCAAGCTTAGTTTAAGCATCGATTTAAACATTTTGGACCTCTGCCAGAACATTATGTCAGTACATATACAAACTATAACCCTTTATAGGTATACTAAAATAAACCAATTTAATTTGTATAAATGTGCATACGTATTAAGATTACAAAAACTTTTAGTAACCTTACATTCTTGCTTCAGACATCTAGAAGTGCTTTTATTTTTATGGTAATCATTTGCTATCTAACAGCAGTTTTGTGCTACAAATGAAAACAAATGCTCATTAACTTATTTTTCTACATTTAGCAGATTAATATGTACATATATCACTTAGCGCTGCGTATCCTCTTGCGTTCGCGGTATATGGACTCCTGTTGTACTACAAAGAGCAAGACATTCGTTTAGCGTAAACAATTTTAAACTCTATAAAAACACACTTTGACTTACTATATGGATCAAAGCGTATCAACTCCAGCTTTTCCGCTAAACGATCACGGAACATATTGAATTGATGGCCACTGACCACGCTCTCCATGAGCACCATGATGCGTCTGTCCGATACCGAGGAAAATGGATTAATAACAAATGGTCATTGCCTTCATTGCAAAAAATACTTACTTGCTTTTAACTTTCTTAAATAACACTTCAGTTAGACGCATTATTATCCTTATTTAATAAAAAAAAATTAACGACTTCCCAGAATAGAAAACAATTGTGCAATTCTGCTGCATAATAAACGCACGCCTTGTCAAAATCAGCTGTAGCAAACGATTTTCATGCGTACTGTACAAGTGAAGTGGTTTCACGCCGCGCCGCTGCATGAAATCAGAACGCCGTTGTATTTACCACAACTTCCAATTAATTTTGAACTAGAAAAACTCCGTTAAGTTTTCGGTTCAGCAAGTGTTTCGTCATGCCCTGCGCGGCAGTTTCGATGCATCAATAGTGGCGTTAAGTTATATTTTCACAAATAAAAAATATTTATTCGATTTAATTTAACTTCTAAATTTTAAAAATGCCTGTACCCACTTGCTCGGGCGGCTCGTGCACAATTTCGAGACCACGAAAATCCGCAACTACTAAATCTAAACCAAAATCAACAGCCTCAAGCGCCAAGAAGACGACTACCAAAAAAACAACCGGTAAGAAGACCACCACAGCTGCCGCTAAAAAGCCAAAATCAACAACAACAACAAAGGCCAAATCGTCTACGGCCAGCAAGACAAAGAAGACCACCTCCACAAGGAAAAGTACAACAACAGATTCAAAGTCGAAAACCGCTGCGCGGAAAACAACTACTACACGCCAGCGGGATGACAGTTATTGTGATTGTTCTTATTGTTATGAAGGTTCAACAGATTCTAACAGTGATTGTTCTGATTCTTCAGATAGCTGCAGTTCCGGTGGTTGTTACTAATATTGACGAGAGTTACATGGAGCTGCTGAGGAAAACGATTTTAATGATGTTGGTGACCAAAATTATATGTGTATTAACTTAATATTTTAAATTCATTGTTCTGTGTTAAAAAATGTTATAAGTTTGTCAAAAAAAAATCTTTCTTTTATGTGAAATTTTATAGTAAAGGTGCCTCTGGAGGCCATAAATGCAAATTTCTTTAGTTTTTGTCTTTTAAGCAGCAAAGTAGAAAAATTCACGATAGTAATTTCATGGGAGTTCGAAAATACTCGGTCCTCTTTGTATTTTTAAATGAAATATAATCTACTTAGCAGATGATAGTTTGAGCAATTTTTTGCGACTTTGGGATTCGATAAAAATTTCTATTTAGTGAGCTACTATTTTTGGGTTTTTGTTGTTATTAGGAGTAATTTATTTACTTTTTATCTTCTATCTGACAATAATTATCATTATATTAAAGTTGTTTTTAATCGAAGATAGGGTCGCAATTCGTTACGTTCTTGGCGCTAAAACATCTTCTAAATATGACGTATTCAGTCTAATGTTTTCATACTCTTTATAAATCAAACAAAAGTACGAGTAATGTTTTTCAGGACGGATTCCGGGCTGATATCTATGATTTTGATCCCCTCATTCAGATTGCGTAGGTAAATTCCTACTTCCCTACTAGTACACAGTTATTTTAAAACAAATGGCAAGTAGTTTTCCGTTCACATTCAGTCAAATCGAATACCTTAGTAGTAGGGCTGCCAACTATCCCTAGCAATGAGGTGCCATATTGAGGATAAAAAAGTGCCAAAATGTGCCAAATAAAAAAATTAAAGTGCCACAAATGATGCCATTCTTTTTAATCCTTCCCATTTAGCAATAAAATAAGAACCACATTTCTAAAACAAAAGTGCAATGCCAAAATAAGATAAACCAGTTGAATAGTCTTTAAAAATTATAAAATTTTAGTTGAGAAAAAGAAGTACACGCGAAGGATTTCACAAAAATGTATTGAAATATTACTATTTTTGAAAAGTGCCATTTTGGCACTTAGTAGGTGCGTTCGTTTAAAATCTCCAACAGAAACCAACCAACTGCCAAATTCCGGCGAAATGTCATCTGTTCGCTCACAAGAGAGAAATATCCAAAATAGTACGCGAACAGAAAATTTGCAGAAACTTGCAAGTTAGACGAACAGCTGATATAATTTTTGTTTACATTCAAAAGTGTAAAATTTAAAACGTACGAAAAGTCATCGCAAAGTGTTATACTGACACAGTTTATTGATTAAACAAATAACTACTTATTTCTTACAAGTTTAATTAGTCGCATTTTGTAATTTTTAACTTCCAAACCATCAAATTCAATTTTGTGATTTGCGTAAATGCCAACCAGCTGTTTTTGATCAGCTGTTTTCCTGTTGGCAAATTGCTGTTGGCAAAAATTTTTCCAGCAGAAACCAGCAGCTTCCCCTCAAAATGAAATGTCACTTTGCTCTCTCAATTTCCCCTACTTTGCAAGTTTTTTGCGTACGCGAACGCAAAAACTTGTATGTTTTGGTTAAACATGAACAATTAACAGCTACGCGAACGAACCTAGTGTCAAATTGAAAAATTAAGTACCATTAGATGTAAAATAGGGCCAAAAATGGCACGGTTTGAGCCAAGTTGGCAGCCCTGTTTAGTAGTAGAGTAAAGAAATTTGGGTTTTCAGAAAGGGGAAATGCAACCATGAAAAAAATTAAGCTTCAACACAAAAACCACATTCCTACCGACCGCAGCCGAGGCGGATTTATACAAGGTGTACAAGGTTACATGTATTTTTGTGTTTGCTTTTACTGATTTGACACCACACCCATCAAAAGCAAAAAACAAAATACATGTAAATTTTGGGGTGAATTGAGGTTTGACATAACACCCGCAATACAAAATACATGTGGATTTCGTTGTTGTAATCTAAATTCGCCACTAACACCACATTGTATAGATTCGCCTTGGTCCATGACCTTGTATAAATTCGCCTTGACCGCACTAATTTCGCAGCAACACATAACTTAAATCCGTTATTCACGAATTGTTTTAAGTTAGTTGCTTGCTTGCGGTCTAGTAAACTAGAAAGACAATTTAAAAAATGCCTGTACCAAAGATGTCTAAGTACAAGAGCAATGAGCCAAATACCAAAAAAATTAAGGAGGAGCAAATCGACACATTGATAGAAGAACTAATGGACAGCTCCAAGAAGCTAACTCATGCACAAAAGCAGACCAAACGCGATTTGGAGGCTTATTTGGTGAAGAAATTGCAGCAGTACGACAATGAAGAGGAAGAGGAAAGTGAAAATAGCGCATCTTCTGAATCTGGTACTGAGGACTCTGAGTCGGGCAGCGACTCAGAAACTAATTCAAGCAGTGAGTGTAGCTGCTGCTGGTCCGGCAGTGATGATGACTCTGATACAGATAGCAACAAGGATTCGGAGTCCGACAGCGAAGATGCAAGTGATGGTGATGTTGAATCTGGAAGCGATGATTCTGATGAATTCTCGGAGGAATATACAATAAATGGCTACAGTGATGATAACGGAGATTTTTGAGGGCCAAAAGCAGTTATTTGCGCGCGGTGTCTATTTGTTTATGTGAATTATGTATCTAAATTCGGTATTACTTAAGCGCTTGAATTATTATGAAATTGTATTGTTCATTAAATTATGTCAAATTGTGAGATATGTTAGATTATTTTATACTTTAATAAATCATATTTAAAATGCTGTTAAATTAAGCCAAGTAACTTTGTACTTGTTGTAACCGCATACAAATTTCCCAAAAAAGATTTTTTGGAGTGTAGCTGGGTTGACAGTCTTTGGCCAGATATAAATCAGGGTCGTTCCAATTACGTAGACTCGACTGTCGTGGAAAATCCTATTTATTTCTTTTATCTCAATTTCAAATAGAATTTAAGGTTATCTATTTCCTACACGACCTCGTTTAACAGGCATGCAACCCTGTTCCTATTGGTCTCGCGCACTTTTCATTCGTACTGTAGTCGCACGTGCTGCAATTTCGGTTAGCGGGCACATACCGCATTTTGATTGTTTAATTTTAGAATTTAGCAACTTTTCCGTGTTATTACAAAGTGAATTGTACGTAAAAATGTCTGAGCCAATTTCAGCGTTTGTAGCATATCGGGCTGCAGCTTCGAAAGGCGGAAATACATGCCGAAAATCAAACAACAAGAAAGCCGGTGGATGTGCTGCTGGTGGTAGCAAAGCAGGTGCCAACAAAAAAACCGAGGAGAAAAATACATCTTTGCAAAAAGATAAACCAAAATCTGGTGCTAAAAATCGTGCTGAGGCCAAGTCGAGCGGCGTAGCGAGGGAAAATGGTGCACAAGCTAAGAATAAAGGTGCACCCAACAGGGGAAAAGATGGCTCTGCTAAGGCCAAGGACGCTACCAAAAAGACAACCCCAAAAATTGAAACACCTCAAACCAAAAATGTTGCCAACAAAGCAGCTAACAAGACAGAACCCGCTAAGCAGAAACAGAAAGGTGAACGCGCAGTTACTAACGGTAAACAAGTTTCCAACGGCATTAAAGGAAACGATATCGACACTTTGGTGGAGCAATTGTTGGGCGATTCACCTTCAAATCCCAAAAAGCTGACTAAAGCGCAGCAGAAAAAGAAACAAGAATTGGAAGATTATTTAGTGCGGCAGCTAAAGCAGTATGATGAAGAGGCTGGTGAAGAAGAAGAGGATTCAGAGTTTGGCAGCGAGGAAGACTATGGTAGTGGCTCTGAAGAATTCTCCGAGTACACAATAAATAGTTACACAGATGATGATGACGAAGAGAGCGAGGAAGAAGAAACTGAACTCAGCGGTGAATACCCAACTGAATCAGTGGGAGAAAATGTACCGGTTGCCAAGTCTACCAAAAACAAAGCGGCAGTGCCTAAGCGCACTGAACTCAGCGTCGAATCCTCAACTGAATCAGCGGAAGAAAATGAACCAGTTGCCACGTCAACCAAAAACATAGCGCCAGTGCCTAAGCGCAAATCCAATGAAGGTGCAGTTGCAAAGACTGGGAGTGAAGCGAGTGTGCCTAAGAAATCGCGTCAAGCGGAAAAAACCGTTGATAAGCGGAAGTCAATGCCTGCCGCAGCAGCAGCAACTGAGAAAATAGAGAAAGGCGCACAAAAACGACGTTCTATTGCTTCAACTAGCAGTGATAGCGCGTCCACCTCGAAAGTTACTGTGGATGCAAAGATGGTGAAGATGGAGCCATTATCGCCACCAAATAATATCGTCAAAATGAATAGCATACAGGAGGGTGAAAAGGTATTTCGCTGGCTACTAAGTCCACTGGCGGTTAAGGAATTCCTTGCAAAGTATTGGGAAGCTGGCGCCTGTTTGGTCAAGCGCAAGGGATCCAACTACTACTCGCATCTCATATCGTTTGAGGCTATTGACCAGATGTTAATAAAAAATCATGTAGAATTTACAAAAAATATCGATATTACTTCGTATAAAAATGGTGAGTTGCTGAAAGTAGCTTTAATACAAGGAATTATTCCACTTATTCTGTTGGCATTCCTAATTTTTACTTTTTTTTACAGGTGAACGAGAAACACTTAATCCGGTGGGGCGCGCCATGCCGCCTATTGTTTGGGATCACTATGGACGAGGCTGCAGCATACGCCTGCTAAACCCACAAACTTTTATACCAGAGCTGTTTCAGCTTAATACCACCTTGCAGGAGTACTTCCACTGCCTAGTTGGCGCTAATGCCTATCTCACACCGCCCAACAGCCAAGGTTTTGCACCACATTACGATGATATAGAGGCTTTTGTGCTGCAGATTGAGGGACGCAAGCGCTGGCGACTCTATAAACCGCGCACGCAGGCAGAGCAGCTGCCGCGTTTTTCGTCGAAGAACTTTAAGCAACAGGAAATCGGCAAGCCCATATTTGATGAGGTTCGTATGATAACATTTCCTGCCTTTCATTTACATAAATTAGTTTCTGTATCAATTATGTCTCTTTAGGTGCTGGAACCCGGCGACATGTTATACTTTCCGCGCGGCACCATCCATCAAGCTTGCACCGAACCGGGCTATCATTCATTGCACATCACGCTGAGCGTGTATCAAAAGCAATCTTACGCTGACCTCTTCGAGCGGATGGTGCCGCTGGTGTTACAGCGCGCCATTGAAAGCAACCTTGATATGCGTCGCGGCTTGCCGCTGCATACTTTTCAGCATGCTGGCATTGCATACAGCGACAATGACACTCAAGAACGTGCCGAACTGTTACGCAAAGTGACTGAACTGTTCGGACAATGTTTGGATAGCGCGCCACTGGCCGAAATGATGGACGCAGCTGTGGATCAACTCGCTAAAAAGTATCAACATGAAGCTCTGCCGCCACATGTATTGCCAACAGAGAGCGCGCGCACCATATTCGGTTCGCGCAGCACTACCAATGAACAAGGCGAATGCATGTGTGACTACGAAATCGATGAGCGCACCAACGTACGCTTGCTGCGCGCAAATATATTGCGCCTGGTGCAGGAGGAAAGCAAGGTGCGCATATACTATTACTTGGATAACTCGAAGGAGTACTGCGAATATGAACCGAACTTTATTGAAATTGAGTCGGATGAAGCGGCAAGCGTAGAGGTGCTCATACGCTCTTATCCCGAGTATGTGGGTGTGTCACAGCTACCAATGGACGATGAAGAACGCAAGGTGCAAATGGTGACGGCGTTGTGGGAGCGCGGATTGCTGATGACCGAAAAGCCCTTTAAGTGATTGATTGAAGAAAATGTTTGTTATGATATTTAAATATTTTTAAAATAGTAAAAAGAAAATGTTTGTTAGCTTATTTAAATTATTTCATTTTGTGAGAAATCGTTTTGTAATAAGCGTTTGGTTTTTGTATCCTGTAATTTCTTCAAGTGTTGAAGCTGAGCTATTGTTGCTTTAAGGAAACCCTTAATGAATTTATAGCATTGTGAATAAAAGGAATGAAGTATGCAGAAACGTTTTGTAAATAAATGTCTTTGATTTTAAGTGAATGTCAAGCGTTATAAAGAGCTAGCGCACTCTAATGGAGGAAATGTTGCGAATTTGAGGTGGTGTACATTTAAAATTTATTTACAAATATTTTTCTTATAAATTAGAAGTTTTTGATTCTTAATATTTTTAGTTGACTAATATCAGCATTACTCAGACTAATACATATAAGTGCGCGTATTCCGTGATAGAACACCCTAGTTCAGCTTTTTAGTACCTTTCGCGCGCTGGTACCATCAGTAAGTCAGCTATGGTCACATGAGGCGGTGAGGAGAGTATGAAATTTACGCCACGCGCCACATCCTCGGGCAGCAAAATTTCATCTGGCTCAATCAATTCTTCCCACTTCTTTTTCTCGTCATCAGATGGAGCACCGCCAAAGTCAGTACGTGTCAGGCCGGGGCTAATGGACTGTGGCGAAAAAATTTAAAATTTAAGAAATAAAAAGAAAAAATATTCAATTCCACACCCCTCCCACTCACCGACAATCGCATCAGTTTGTGCGGAAAGAGCTCCCGCCGCAGAACCTCATGCAGGGTGTGTAGCGCATGCTTCGTCACCGGATATAAATTCAAGCCACATTCGGGTATGTGTAACGGCACTGTGTGACCCAATAGACTACTTACCGTTACTATATGACATGCTTCACCCTTCGCCATTGTGGCCTGCATCAGCCTATACGCTTGCTTTGTGCAATTCACTGTGCCCATTAAATTGACATCAATCACTTGCTTCAGCGTCGATTCATTGCTCTCTTCCAGCACTTTGGTCATCTGAACCATGCCAGCATTGTTGACGAGCACATGCAAGCTATGGAATCGCTGTTCGATCCAATGGAAATTACTCTTCAGCGAGGGCAGCACAGTCAAGTCACAGCAACGCGGATAAAATTTTTCACGTATGGACACATCCAGCGTCTCCTTGAGATCCTCCATTTTTTGCAGGCGACGCGCAAAACCAATTACAATCATGCCCGCCTTAAGTAAGTCCTGCGCGACAGCCCAGCCGATGCCAGAGCTGGCACCTGTAACTACAGCGACTTTGTCCACCCAGCGTTCCATAGCGTTGGCGGAAAGGGAAATGAAACGAAATTTTCTGTTAAAGCAAGTACGTAATGTAACAAAGCGCAGTGGGTACCGTTGTTCAACGCGTGCCTATAGCAGCAACACTAAAGTGGCAGCGCGAAATTGCAGCACTTTAAATAAATTTTTTGGGAATTGAATTTTTTCGATGCCTTGTTGGCTGGTTTGCAAAGCTCACTTCGAAGCGCTGCGCATGCTGCTGTGCGATTGTGCAAACGGCGATTGTGCTGGCTACTTTGTTTTCAGTAATATGGGTAATATGTATCGGCGCAGCGGGTTGCGAGACTGAAAGTTAAGCAAAACAAAAAAAACAAGAAAGAAAGCACACAAAATGCATTCACTTGTAATATTATTCATGCGCTATTATCGCACATTGTGCGCGCGAGCTATAATTTACGCTAAACTGGAGCAGGTTTCGATTTTGGGTTCTTGAACTTGACCGGAAGCGCTTGCGGCAAGGCATGTGTATGTTTTAAAAAGGGGGAGGTTAAGTGTAACGCTATTAAAATGCTGAATTTTCGGGCGCGTAAACAACGCGATAATTTTCGGTATTACATTCATATTTTTTCAGTACAACATTTGTGTTTAAAGGGAAGATAAATTTTAAAACGTAGTTGGGAAAAGGACCCCAAAATGGGTACCAAAAGCTGCGGGGAATGAGTCCATTAATTCCTACTCTGTGCTTTGGAACCACTCCATATAGCTGCTTTCCTAAGCTCTAAAAAACCTGAAGCCTTACAGTAATAAAGCTATTAAATCGCACATCTATTAAAAAGGCTAATTATTCCAGAGACAAGTAAACTAGAATGCGAAATATTTAAACATTCTGGACATTGAAATGGGGTATATACCTCGCCTGAGTTCTTGTAGTCTAATCAGGAGAGCGAGCGAAAAATCTTATACGAAATTATTTTCAAGTCATCTACATTTTCCTCCACAAAAGGGTAAATTTAAATTTTTTGCATGCCCGATTTTAATGCACCCATATATTTTTTGTAACAATATTGCAAAATTCGAGTATTAACATATGTATAATATTTTTTATTTTTATTTTTTTTTTTTAATGATAAGTAATGTTTAACTTAATAATTTGACTTGTTTACTTTTAAGCCGTACAAAGAGCATATTTTTTATTGTCGAATCGTATGCAAGTTGTTTATTTGCAAGTAAAACGCGAAAAATGAATACAAACATCTGTTGAGACAACTCGTTCGCCTTCATCCAATTTTAACGCCAATTCTGAAAGTGATACTCTCACTTTTAATTATTGTTGTTAGAAAAATTTTTACTTTCTGTGGGTTCATTGTCTGATATATTTAACTAAATACATACATACATACATAGTTACGTACTTGAATACGAGTAGGTATGCATATGCACGATCATCAGAAAACTTAGCAGAGCACATACCTACATAAAAAATAATTCTCCCTCTCTTCTAGGCGCCGACAAACTGGGTGTTAAATTTAGCTTTCCAATTCTATGAGTTTTGCCTACAAAAATTAGAACTGGCTTGGTAAGGAAATTTTGCTTAAACGCATAAAAAGATTCTTGAGGAGTTTTCCTACGCCTCAGTTATCAGATGCGGTTGAGGAACGTTTACCTAAATAAAAAAAATAAAACCTTTTACTTAAGCTCTTTACTTCTCATGCTCGGTTGTTTACATTGCGTCTGTACATACATACATACATACATACATATTAGAGGTTTACGCCGACAGGCTTTGCGGCGGCGGCGTGTTCAACTTCAAACAGAATCGGCGGCGGCGGCGACGCCGGCGCGTCTGGAAACGCCGGCGCTACTGCCCATAATGTAGAGTCCAAAGAGCCATGAGGCTTCTAATCTCATCATGTCATCAGATTATAATTCTATTTAATTCATTCATTGAATTCAAATGTTGAGTGACTGCTGCTGATGGATGGGCGAACAGAAGAAAGTCTATATAGTATATACATTAGGTTTCCCATTGAAAATGATTTTTTTTGAAAATTTAAAGACCCTACCCCCTAATTTGATTCGTTTTTATGAGAAATATTATTGCCTATTTTTATAGATTTTTTAAAGGCCATTTAGAGGTCGCGGCCTGTCGATTTAGGTCAGAAAATACGATTTTCTAGATTCATGAGTTTTTGAGAGACTATTTTTGCTTG